GTTGTGGCTCGGTTACCCGGTTGTGCTGACTAAGCGGGTGCGGGCAGCAGGAGCGTTGCACTTGAGCCTTGGTGGTGGCAACGTTCTCGTGGTTACTCCCCGGGAGCCCCGGGGCTGCCCCGTTTTGGTTCGTTTTGGGACTTGGGGGTGTTGGTTGCTTCGGTTCCATCCACACCCCCTTGTCTTTCCCTTGGATCACCCTTCCTGCCTGCATCCGGTTCCTTACCATCTGTAGGTTCGGGGCGGGGTTTTGATGGTGTTGAGACTCGGGCAGTCTCGGGGAATTCCCCTTCCGGAGTAGTGACGGGGGCATTTGAGCCTGTTCCTCCAGCCGTGTTGTAAGAGTCTGCCAGTGGGCTCCCTTCCTTAGTGTTTTCACGGCTGCCCCGGTTTTCTGGTACGGCCGGGGCTTTGGGGGAATGGCTCGGCCCCGGGGCCTGTCGTGTAGGTTCCCGGGGCTGGGGAGGGGCTGACTTGGGGGGGCCTTGGCCCCGTTGGACCCCATGGTTTTTTTTATCCCCCTCTAGGCGGGGCTTGTGGTTACGCTGAGTGGGGTCTTTCCTCCCCCACTCGCCGTACGTGCTGTTTGGGCGTCGGCCCCTCCCCGGGCTCGGTTCCTTGGCCTTTGAGTCGGTTGGTTCCATCCTGTGGGTGGATGTTTCCTCCCACCCTTTTTTGGGACGGTGTTTTCGTCATGTTTCCTCGTTCTTGGGGTTCTACGTGACTTCTGGTCTCGGGTGCGCCTGCGCCTTTGTGTGCCTTCGGGACTAGTGTTGGCTTGTGTGTTCTCGAGGGTTCGGGAAGGTTTTTCGCTACTTCCCGCATTATTGGAACGTCTGTCAGCTCCTTGTCCTGTCCTTGTCGCCGTTTTGGGCTACTTGTGGCCCGGTTGGGCTACTTGTGGGCCGGTTGGGCTACTTGTAGCCCTGTTGGGCTACTTGTAGCCCTGTTGGGCTACTTGTAGCCCTGTTGGGCTACTTGGCCCTGTTGGGCTACTTGTTGGGTTGGGCCTTGTTTTGGGTTCCTTTTTGGGCTCTTCGCTTCGTTGGCCGGTTTTATTGTTCCTGCTTCCTCTTTTGGCTACTTTTCTAGTGCAGTAGTCCTGGTTGGCGCCTTCCCGCAGAGATGGTTGTGCGGTTTGGCCAGCGTGTCATGCGCATGCGCCGTGGGGTTTGTTTTGGTCTGGGCGGTGTTTCAGTGCTGGTGTTTTGCGCCCTTTTTGCTACGGTGCTTCGCCTCTCGTTCTTCTCCCTGGCTGCGGTATGTGCCCCTTCGCTCCGGGGGTGTCCTGGTTCCCAGTTGTGGGGAGGATGCCGCGGTTTTCCCTGTGTCATGGGTGTGGGCCGCCTCCTTCGCCTCTACCCTGCTCTCCTGCGGGTCCGGCTCTGGCATCTTCACCTGGCGGTGCTCCCAGGTTCTTCTGGGCGCGGTTGAGTCGTGTCACGTTCATGCCACCGTTCGCCAGGTGAGTTTCTGCGGTCTGGCGTCTTTTGGCCGGGCGCTGGATGCGGTGTTTATATACCTGTCTTTATTTAGGTATATTTTTGTATGACTGAGACCGTTCGCACACCAGTGACTGTCCCTTTTTCAACCCTTCCAGTCCCCCTCATGTGCATGTCCAACCCATGCTAGAGTCATTCAGGGGACCCACCTTTTTCATGTTGTGAGGTGTGGGGGTTGTGGGGTTGGTTCTGTACTCACCTGGTAAGGCTCCTGGCTGTGCTTGCAGGGTTTGAGCTCTGGCTCTTGGGTCCCGCCTACCTTGAGGTTACCTTGTAGATCTGGTAGAACCTTGCCTATCTGGTAGAACTTGCGGGATAGTACCAGTGGAGTGCAGTGGTGCTATAGGCACAATTGGGGAACACTGTATAACCATCAGAGGTCTGCGGTTGTTACACGACCTACTTGCGAGCATAAGCCTTATTGCTGGTACGTCCGTGGACTTCCAGGGCACACTAGCCTGTTTTCATATAGAAGTTCCGGCCCATCCTGGTTGTGGGGGTAAGTGGGCCTGCGGGCCGCTCCAAGCAGCTGCCTGGTGGGCCACCCTCTGGCCGGTCTAGCCTGGCCTCGGGCTGGGCTTGGGGTGTAAATGAGCTCCCAGTACCCCATCCAGCAGGTATCGAGCGGGGTTTCTCCGCCGTCAGTCGCCTGGTGTGCAGGGTTCTGGGCCTGCTGGGTTTTGTCGTGTCTCCGTTGGCCCTGTCTGGGGTCTGCCTACTCCGTTCTCTGCCTTTGCAGAAGCGAGTTGCTATTTACAGGTTGCATGTTGTGGTGGTGCCTGTTGCTGCTACTGCACGTGTGCATTGGTACCGTGTTTCGCGGTGGCGTGTCCTTCTTCCTATGTCCGGTTGTGGTGTGGCGCTTTGCTGCTGTTTTGTACCTGGGGTTTGCATATGGGGGTTTGCTTGTTGTTTTTCGTGGTCTTCGGATAACTGGTTTGGCCCTCTCATGTGCGTGGGGGGTTTTCTGTCCCTGCCTGATTGTCCACCTCTGGTTGTTTTCCTGGGGTTTTTGTGCTTCTGCTCTTTCTTCCTGCCTTCTCTGCAGCAGGGGTGTTCTGCGTGTGTTCCTGGGCTTCTTGGGCGTTTTTCAGCCTGTGTCCTGTGGTGTGCTTCTTTGTCTCGGTCTATTGCAGTTGTTCGTACCCCTTGGTTCGGGTACTGTTCTGGCGGCAACCCTTCCGCCTTCTTTGGTTTCCTAGCTTGCCCTGCCGGTTGGTTTTTTTGGGTCTTGCGATGTCTCGCGTTGGACCCGTCATTTCTGAATTCCTGGCGGGCTTGCTTGCTTTGGGGAGTTTTTCTGTTCGGCAGACGTTCCATCTCCTTGTGCCGCCTGGGTTTCGGTGGTCGCACGCGAGATCTTCCCGCGGCTCTGCCTTTTCCTGGGCTCGGAGGGGCCTTGTCGGGGCTGCTTATGTTCTGCCTTGCGGTCTCGCCTCTGGTTGGTGGTCGGGTGGCTTCTCTTGGTGGCAGTATGGGGTATTTTGGCGGTCCTTCCTTTTCCTGTCCCTTCTTAGGTGGTTACTCTTGTTAGCTTGGTTTACTCTCGGCTTGGTTTTCTGGTGGGGGTTGGGGGCCGTCGTCTTGCCACATACTGTTGCCCCTTTTCGTCGGGGGTTTCTATAGGCCATTGCTCCCCTTGCCTCTCTGAGGGGGCCAGGTTCTGGCTCGTGGTCCCCGGTAGGCCCTAGAACTCCATACACATGACTGATGCCAAAGTCTGACATTAGCATATCAGCCGGTAAAGCTCCGGGGAGCCTCCGGGTCTCACCCAGAAAATGGCGTTTCATTACATTCAACGCTGGTTTTTTTATTGGAGTTAAAATTAACGTAGATATATGACAGAACTTAACCAACCCTACCTAACCTAACCTAACCTATCTTTGTAGGTTAGGTTAGGTAGCCGAAAAAGTTAGGTTAGGTAAGGTTAGGTTTATTAGGTAGTCGAAAAACAATTAATTCATGAAAACTTGGCTTATTAGGCAAATCGGGCCTTGCATAGTAGGCTGACAAGTGCGTTCTGGCTACTAGGTACGACATATATATATATATATATATATATATATATATATATATATATATATATATATATATATATATATATATATATATATATATATATATATATAATACATACATACATACATATACATATATAATACATACATACATACATATATAATACATACATACATACATACATATATAATACATACATATATTCAGTGGTACCTTGGTTTAAGAGTTTAATCTCTTCCTGGAGACAGCTCGTATTCCGAAAACTCGTAATTCGAAGCTAATTTTCCCATAAGAAATAATGGGAAATGAATTAATCTGTTCCCGACTACCCAAGAACCTCACTTCGAACTAAATTTTATACCTAATTCATCTAAATAAACCTACAAAACTATGTTCAAGTTATTACTTACCCTTGTTGATGAATGCTGTAGGTGTATGGAAGATGGTGAGGAGGTGGGAGGAGGAGAGGTGTTACTGTTTGGAAGGGGAGTCCCCTTCCATTATAACATCAGACAGTGAGGACTTCACTGGTGTGCACACTCTGGCACATTTTGCCTTCATACCACTAGGACCTGCTTGTGGCTCACTGCTTGCTTGTCTTATTAAGAATCTGTCTAAAAACACTTGTTTTTCCCTACATTTTAACACTTGTCTGAAGTAAGACATAACATTGTCATTTAAAAGGTCAGTGCAACGGCCTGCTACAGCTCTATCTGGGTGAGTTTTTTTCAACAAAACTTTGCAAGTCTTCTCATACTTCACACATTTTCCTAATATATAAAGTTTTCTTCGTGACTATTTCCTCACCATGCCTGGCCTGGGGTAACATCCATGGGGTAATTTTATTTCATGAACACTCCTGAATCCTGACGTCATCGTGAAATTTCCTCGCTTCACCATGGCCAAAGGTAGCTACATGGGCTTTTTTCTCCCGGACACCAGGATGTTATCTCTTTTGGTATAAATGGACAAAGCCCAATGGTTAATCAGTTGTATAAGCTATTTCTCATATCAAATACCATTTTATTTCCTCTCGTGTGTTGATGCCCAACCTGACAAGTGAGTGTCTAGCAAATGCTTCAAATTCTATTGTACAATGTTAAATACTTGAAACCATCTTGCATGAAGTCACCTCCAGACAAGAGGCGTCACTGTTAGTGGGCACTAGAGCTGTTTACAGTGAGAGAGCGAGTAAGAGAAAAAGCAAGCAAGTGAGAGAGAGAGGGCGAGAGAGGGAGGGAGGGAGGTAGGAAGTAGGATAGAGCAAGCAAATGGGAGAGAGCGAGTGAGCAAGAGTATGTGAGAGTTAGCCAGGGAATAAGTGGTGAACTATATAGAATAACACTTATTTAGATTATAGTGATGTTATTTTGATTGTATCACAGTTTTTATAACCTTCAAAGGCACAGTCTTAATTTGTAGACAATGATGCGGTTGGCAGGTGTGTTGTCTGCAGTTAACAGAGTGTGTATCTTACAGAGATCCAGAAGCTAGTATTGGGAGGGCGCATGGGTGAAGCTATAGAAACAGTGCAACAGTTGTACCCTGGCTTATTGGAGAACAATCACAATCTACTCTTTATGTTGAAGGTCAGTGCTGCAAGAGTTACTTTTGTCATAGGATTGCATTTTTTTCTGAAGTACGCTAAGTACAAGTGCTATTTGTGTGCAATATTGGTGTTGGTATTAACTTCACCGTGTAAACGTTAATATTGTCAAACCTCCATTCTGTGAGAGTTCAGCGCTAGTTGTGCTGGTACACTGATCTCATGATTCTCTACATTTTCTTGTGTTGAACTCACTTTTGAGATCATATTCTTTCATCGTATCACCTTCTAAGTAACCTGGGAGGTGACATGTATAGGTAATGTAATTCTGGCCAGAAAGTGGTGCAAATAACTAGTAATAATGTTTAGGTTAATGTTCTATTGCAAGAAAAAAGGAAAAATAGTAGACTTTTAGAGGTCTTTGAAATACAGTACATATAATATTAGCATAATTTTGCACAAATTCCTCATGCATGAGTTGCATAGAAATGAATTCCTCATTCAGTATGGAGGAAGCCACAATTCTGATGGCTGGGTAGAATTTTAAACTCTCCGTGTTAAGATTATATTTGACAATAATGTTTCACTTTGTGGAGAGCTTTCTCAAATACAACAGAGGTTACAGCACAAGCAAAATACAATGGAAGGCAGACAGTGAAGTATTTGTGGTGGAGGGAAAAGAGGAGAAATCAAGTGGGCGACCCTTGGTGGGAAGAAAACATTCCAGTGGAAGCTGCAGCCAAAAGGTTAATGAGTATTTTAACTCTCCTGAGGAAATTGAGTCATACCTCTTCCTTTTAGTGCAAGTGCATATCTGCAAGTGCATAACTGCAAGTGATATCTTTGTTGTGGCACTGGCGAGATTTCTGTCCACCGTTGTTCTCGGAGAGAAATATTACAGTAATCTCGTCTAACGTGTTCTGTTTTGGTGCTTCAACCTGGTGGGCAAAAATGTTTGAGTAACATTAAATCAACATAATATCAACATTATCAAAGTTGATTAGATGTTATATCATTATTTGTCCCAGGTTTGTCCAGGTTTGGGGGTTTAACTCCTGATTATCTTGAAGTTACCTTGAGATGATTTCGGGGCTTAGCATCCCCGCGACCCGGTCCTCGACCAGGCCCCCTTTTCGTTACACACCCCCAGGAAGCAGCCCGTAGTAGCTGTATAACTACCAGGTACATATTACTGCTAGGTAACAGGTGCATCAGGGTGAAAGAAACTCTGCCCGTTTGTTTCCGCCTCCACTGGGGATCGAACCTGAAACCTCAGGACTACGAATCGGAAATGCTGTCCACTCAGCTGTCAGGCCCCAGTATTGTACAGTATATTGATGCCATATTATATATTGTACTAGGTCCTGTGTTACTGAACTGTGGGGTGGCATGTACTGCTGTTAGTGTGTTTATGGGCAAACAGGATAATTGAATCTTAAATTGAGAATGTTGAATCAGCCATAATATTACAGGTGCGACAGTTTATAGAAATGGTAAATGGTACAGATACTGAAGTTCGAGGGGTTTCGAGGTCTCCGTCTCGTCCGCCAACACACGAGTCCTCCCCATCACCTCCATGTTGGTCCAACGGTAGGACTACAGATCCAGTTCCTGGTAAGCAACGAAGAAGAGTTTTAAATTCATTTTGAATTCAGTTTTGAATTCATCAGTACAGCATTGATACTATAATGTAACAGTCCATTTCTGTGGGGAGTCCTTTTAGCTCCCTGGAGTTATCGTGCTAATGTGTGATATATTAGACCGGAGCATTAGTCTAAGGAGTTCGACCTACCAGGGATCACGAGCCAGAACCTAGCCTCCTCAGAGAGGTTGCAGGGAGCAATGGTCCTGGAAAACCCTCCTGTGGTTGAGGTTTTTCCTTATCTGCCATCGACCGGGGTTTGTCACCCAGAAAGGTAGGCATAACAAAACTAACACCACATGGTAAGATAATTACAACTAAAAACCGAAAAGAGAAGAACTCCCTTCGATCCTAGCCTTGGGTTTTCATCACTGTTTTGTCCATTGCTGTTTGCGGAATCTGTTGTCACGCAGTTTCTGCAGGCGGCTTTGTCTAGTTGTCGTCCTATGTTGGATTTGTTGGTTCTCCCGGGTGGCCATTCTCAGCCTTCTCGAAAGGGTCATGACAGGGCTCGGGGTTCCGCTAGTCAAGGTGGGTCATTGGTGCCAGCTTTTGAGACGACGTTGCCTTCGGAGCTAGCGTTGTCTGGTCAGCGCGACGATCGCTCTGTTTGGCGGTCGGCTTCTCGTTAGGGTCATTGGCCTTTTTGCGGTTCGCCTCATTGATGGGGCGAAGGGGGGGGGGAAGGCTCACCCTGTTTGCTCGCGCTTGGTCCCACAATTCATGGGCATATATGGTCATGTCATCTGGCCTGTGATGGCGTTGGGTGGCTCCTTTCCCTTTGAGGGGTTCCGGGGGTGCCCTTGCACTTCGTCAGGTCATCTTGGAGTGTGCGCGTTTGGGCGTGGTCAACACGACCCCCGTTCCTCAGGTGGGTTTCCTGCCTGTTTCCAGTGCCGAAACGGGTCTGTGCGGATCTGAGGTTAATTCTGGACTTGTCCCATCTGAACCCCTGGATTCCTTGCCCCTCCTTTCAGATGACTACTCTGTATCAGGTCCAGCTTCTTCTGAAGCCGGGTGCCTGGATGGGTGTCTCTGGACCTCAAGGATGCATATTGGCATATTCCCAGTCATCTGGGGATTCAGGGACTGGTTAAGTTTTGTGGAAGGGTGTTTTTCGTTGCCTTCCTTTTGGCTTGAATCTGGCACTTCGCCTGTTCATGCGTCTTACCCAGGTCGTGGTGACCCATCTGCATCTGATAGGAGTTTGGGTCCTGGCCTACTTCGACGACTGGCTGGTGTGGGCTCCCAGTTGGTCCGCTTGTCTGCTCGCCAGGGGTGTGGTTCTTTCCCAGCTAGCCAGGTTTGGGTTCCTGGTGAAGTAGAGGTAGTCCCATCTGGTTCTGTCCCAGATTCGGACCTGGCTGGGTCTTGATTGGGACTCTCAGACCGCTTCCATGTCTCTCCCGCTGGAGGCATTGCTGCGGCTGCTCTCCTGCCTTCGGCTGTTTCTGGGGGATCCCGGATCACTTGGCAGTTGCTCGAGCAGTTTGTGCAGGAGTTTGAACTTTGCCATGCTGGTCTACCTGCTGGCTCAGATTTGGCTTTGGCATCTGTTCTGGTTCTGTCAGGGATGCCCCTTCCGCTTCTCTACCGATCGCTGGGTTCATATTCTAGGGCCTTGCGTTGGTTGCTGCGTCGCCGGCTTCCTCTTCGGGGGTTTTGGGGTTCAGTGCCTTGGTGCCTCCCCGAATCCTCACTTGATGTGTTCACGGACGTGTTGTCTCTCGGCTGGGGCTTTGTGACCGGTGCTCACCAGGCCGGCCAGGGTCGGTGGGGTACATTCTTCCGTTGGGCTCACAGCACAGTGTGGGAGTTTGCTTCGGTTTGGCTTTTGCTTCGGGGGTTGGGTCGCTCGGGGTTCGAAACATCCGGCTCCATTTGGACTGTTCTCTGGTGGTTCGTTGCCTGAACTGCGGGGGTTCTCTTCGGTCCTTGCTTCTTTGGGGCTGTTTTCTTCGAGTGGCTTGTCTGCTGGCTCCTTTGGGTTTGGCTCTTCGTGCAGTTCATATCCGGGGAGTATCCAACGTCCTGGCGTATGGCCTATCTTGGTCCATTCCCCTGTCGCGGTGGATGCCTTTAGGCAGGACTGGTCGAGGTGGGGTTACCTGTTCATCTTATCCCTGGTTCAGCGGTTGCTTTGGATTCTGGCTTGGTTAGAGTCCTACCACTGGAGAGTAGTCCTTGTAGCCCCTTGGTGGCCGGCCCAGCCTTGATTCCAGGTGCTGCTTGCGCGGTTATCTTGAGATGATTTCGGGGCTTTTTAGTGTCCCTGCGGCCCGGTCTGCGACCAGGCCTCCACCCCCAGGAAGCAGCCCATGACAGCTGACTAACACCCAGGTACCTATTTTACTGCTAGGTAACAGGGGCATAGGGTGAAAGAAACTCTGCCCATTGTTTCTCGCCGGCGTCTGGGATCGAACCCAGGACCACATGATCACAAGTCCAGCATGCTGTCCGCTCGGCTGACCGGCTCCCTACCGGTTCGGTGTGCGAACCTGGGAAGTTTCCTGCAGCTCCGCCTCTTCGAGCAGATCGGACCAGTCCCTTACATTTATGGCTGGTTCGGTCTTCTCTTCTGCTCTTTGCATCTGGTCATTTTGACGCAGGTTTATCACCATTTATATGGTGTTCAGGTGGCTTCATTGATGGTTTCCTACCTGAGAGCTTCGTCTCGGCAACAGTATGAAGTTTCCTGGCATTCTCTCCGCCATTTTCTCTCTCTTCATAGGTTGGCTTCTATTTCTGATCAAGCTGTCTTGTCCTTTCTGTCTTGGCTTTTTCAGGACCATCATTTTGCCAAAGAGTCACTCCAGCTTGCGTTTGGGGTGGATGTCGCTTCTGCACCATTCTGTAAGCTTTCTTGTGCTTTGTTTCACCTCCGGTCTGCATGCGCCACCTGAGCCGTCCTGGTCCTGTTACAGGGTGCTCTCCTATCTTTCCTCTCCTCGGTTTGTGGGTGGCTCCTTCGGTTCAAGATTTTTTTCCAAGGCTCTGTTTCTGTTGGCATTGGCCTCTGGGGGTTGGGTTGGGGAGCTGCATTCTCTTCTCTGGGGCAGGGGTTTCTGCTCTTTCGGTCCTGGTGGTAGGTTTGGTTGATTGCAGCCTTCTCTTTCTTTTCTGGCGAAAAATGAGACTGCTCCGGAGGGATCCTTGGGTCATTGATGCTTGGTAGGTCAGGCCGGGAGTGCATTATGTGTCCGGTTGCGTGTCTATGCTGTTAGCTGTGCACTTCAGTTTCGGTGGCCGGGGATGAGCTTTGGGTTGATTCGGTTTCCCTCGTTCCCTGTTCCAGGGCTCGAGTCTCTTAGGTCGTCCGCAGGATTATTATGTCTAGCCATCCTGCAGTCTATTCTCGTGCCCATGACGTTAGGAAGTTTGCTGCGTTGCTTTGGCTGCCATGTTTGGCGACATGTCGTGGGTTGACATTCAAGCATGGGGATTTTGGAGGTCGAACAGGGTCCTGGCCGCTCGTTGTTTGGTAAACGTTCCTTCTCCTGAGCATTCTTGTGTTGCTTTGGGTTGCAGGTTGTATGTTGTAGCCAGTTGTCTCGACTTTGCGTTGAGGAGTTTGTGGCAGCCCCCTCCTGGGTAAGTCCCTCTTTTCCTTATCTTTAGTTATGTAGTTCCAGGGAGCTGAAGGGGCTCTCCACAGAAAACGGGCATTGAATGTAATGAAATGCCATTTTCTGGGTGAGGCCCAGAGGCTTCCTGGCAACCCTCCCCCCCCCCTCCGGTCGGCCATTTTTTGCGTTGCTTGACGCTTAACTTCCGAACTGGAGTGCTGGGTAGCCGGCATGGGGAGGACAAGGCTGTGCAAACAAGTGGCACAGCAGTGGGCTGTGACGTTTGCTTTTTTGCTTGTTTCCTTGAGATTGGAGGGAGTTCCACCTCAATTTTCGGTTTTTAGTTGTGATTTTCTTACCATGTGGGGTTTGTTTTGTTATGCCTACCTTTCTGGGTGCCTAACCCTGGTCCATGGCAGATAAGAAAAAAAAACCTACCACAGGGGGGTTTTTCCAAGGCCATTGCTCCCTGCAACCTCTCTGAGGGGGGTCAGGTTCTGGCTCATGGTCCCCGGTGGGTCGACGAACTCTTTAGACTAATGCCTCGGTCTAATATATCACATAGTAGTCCGATAGCTCCAGGGGAACCTCCGGGCATACCCAGAAAATGGCATTTCATTACATTCAATACTGTTTTTTTACAATTTTAAACATAGAGTACTGTATAAAGATACAGTAACCAATCACTAACTGGAGAGAATGGTTCTCTCCAGTTAGTGATTTAGGGGTGAAAGGATTGTTTGATGACCAAGACACTAAATTTAATTAATAGCTGTGCTCAAACTTGTAGTTATTTTTATTAAGCACATTTATTTTATTTATTTATTTATTTATTTATTTATTTATTTACAAGAAGGTTTCTTATGAGAGCACAGCATTTCGGACAGGTCCTTAAATTAATCTAACAGATAATTTTAAGTAGGTAATTTCTAACAAAATGGAAAAATGTTAACAGGTACATTGTAAGAAAATTTGAAGATGATTAGTAGGTACATTATAGAAAAATTTGAGGATTATCAACAGGAACATTGTAGCATAATTTGAGGATTATTTCTAGGTACGTGTACTGTATATTGTAGTAAAATATGCGTTTAATATAATAACCAAGATATAAGATGATAGCAGTGATTACAATGATGAAATTGTATGGTTTAGGCACATATATTGGGGCAGTGAATAGCACTAGATACAGTGTGAGTTTAAAACACTAGGAAAAAAACTATGAGGATGAAATTAGGTACTTTTTGGTTTTACTTTTGAATGAGGCGTAGGTTGGACAGCTTTTCATTAGGAAGTGAGTTCCATAGACTAGGTCCCTTTATATAGTGTTGAATAGACCACACACACTAGAGGGTGAAGGGACAACGACGTTTCAGTCCGTCCTGGACCATTCTCAAGTCTATTGT